GGAAAGGAAGCTAAAGCCACGAGATATAAACATTATGGCTGCACCATGAACCCATGAGTATATTATGTGTATTGTGTTAATGACACAGACAAGCTTTGTGTTCAATAACTAGCGCCAAACATGTCGTTCTCGTTTCGTTGACAACGGCATCATATATTTTATGACTCAGTGTTTGGGTACAAAACATTTAATTTGGCCCATTAATCTTCTATCGGTACAATTCTTCATTATCATTGTTATTATTTGTTACGAAATGTTGCTTTCGGTAACCATATCTGCTAAGGCGCTGTACCTAACAATGTTAGGAAAAGCCTATATCATATGTCCCCCTTTTGTAAAAAGCCCAAAAAACCAATTAACAGGGAAGTGATTGGTGATGTATATCCCTCCTGATGTATATCTACTGGTGTGTTGTATAAAGAGACTTATGCTTGATAACCCAACCCTCCCCCTACGGTCTGGGAGCGAGAGAGAGAAAGAGATAAAGGGAGTTCCTGTGTTCTCCTTTAAGACGACGACGAGGAAACGGTAAGAAGGGGGAACACCAGCAACACAACTAAACCGTGTGACGTGTTTTCCCTATCCCAGTGAGAGCTCCTCTTGGGGGAAAGTTATTAAAAATGGTAAGTAAAGTTTCCCATATTTTATTCACAATCAGTCATTACCATTCAGTACAGCTGCGTTATTTTATTGGTCTCTATTTGATTAGTTTATAATTTCTTTCCTCCCTTAGACAAGCTTCTCATTGGTTTGGTATTACTGAAAGGATAGTCTTTGGTGTTTCAAAAAGAATATGTAAATAATAAAATGATATTCATGTGAAATTTTGTATACAAATATGTATTAAATTGTATATTTTATGATAAATTTGTGTTTATATTCCTCTTGATTCCTACCTGGTCAAGGACATATCAATTATGAATATGTGCGATTAAAAAGGAGACAAAATCAAACATGCAGCAACTAAAATGAGACCTTATATCATATAATTTGATACAAATATATCATATAATTTGATAAAAATATATCATATAATTTGATGCAGAAGCAGAGAAAGAGAGATAGAGAGAGAGAGAGAGGATATAATATAAAGTGCCTAAAATGGCATATCAAAAGCAAATGTACAAAAAAAAAATTACACACACACACATCTGTCTCATACATAAATACTTTCAAAATTATATTATAGCTTATTCGTCAAGTAGGAAAGCGTACCTTCGCTATCTCTATAAAAAGACCAACACCAAAAATATGTCTACCAAAATAGGATTTGTATTGTAAATATATACATATATATATATATATATATATATATATATATATATATATATATATATATATATATATATATATATATATATACATATACATATATATATATATATATATATATATATATATATATATATATATATATATATATATATATATATATATATATATACATACACACACACACACACATATATATATATATATATATATATATATATATATATATATATATATATATATATATATATATATATATATATATATATATTTTATATATATATATATATATATATATATATATATATACATCGATATAGATAGATAGATAGATAGATAGATAGATAAACAGATTAATAGATAGATATAGATATAGATATATGTGTATACGTGTGCGTGCGTGCGATTGTGTGTATATGTGCGTACTTAGAGGTGTGTGTGTGCATGTATGTACATGCATATTTACACTATTCATGTTTACGTAACCATGCTCCGGAGGCATCTGTGTCGTATTGCCAGCGGATCAAGTGAAACATGAGACGTGTTTGCATGAAACAAGCGGATCATGCAAACCTACTTTCCCCCAGACCGCCTCGCCTGCCTCCATTATGGAAGGTGCGGTGATTATCCGAAATCTTTTCATAGCAACTCGGGCATAGGTTAACGCATCTGGAACGGTTTCTTCCCTTCTCTCTCTCTCTCTCTCTCTCTCTCTCTCTCTCGCTTTCTCATTCTCTCTCTCTCTTTCTCATTCTCTCTCTCTCTCTCTCTCTCTCTCTCTCTCTCTCTCTCTCTCTCTCTCTCTCTCTCTCTCTCTCTCTCTCTCTTCTCATCTCTCTTCTCTCTCTCTCTCTCTTCTCATTCTCTCTCTCTCTCTCTCTCTTCTCCTCTCTCTCTTTCTCTCTCTCTCTCTCTCTCTCTCTCTCTCTCTCTTCTCTCTCTCTCTCTCTCTCTCTCTCTCTCTCTCTCTCTCTCTCTCTCTCTCTCTCTCTCTCTCTCTCTCTCTTCTCTCTCTCTCTCTCTCTCTCTCTCTCTCTCTCTCTCTCTTTCTCTCTCTCTCTCTCTCTCTCTCTCTCTCTCTCTCTTCTCTCTCTCTCTCTCTCTCTCTCTCTCTCTCTCTCTCTCTCTCTCTCTCTCTCTCTCTCTCTCTCTCTCTCTCTCTCTCTCTCTCTCTCTCTCTCTCTCTCTCTCTCTCTCTCTCTCTCTCTCTCTCTCTCTCTCTCTCTCT